GGTTCGAATCCCACTTCTGACACCAAATGTAACGTGCGCGGGCGACAACAACTTCCAGTCAAGGCATTACAATATCATGGGAGGGGAGGGTGGGAGGCTCATTTTCATTATTTTGCAGTACTGTACCTGTTGTAGTCAAACCAGGAGGCATAACTAGGGATTATGATATGATGTGTCTGTTCTGTCAGGTTTTCATCATGAGGTTCACTGTCTGGCATGATGAGTGGTTCTTTGAACAATCCATCTTTAGTCTGGCTGGATGAAGGCGAGGCTGGTGCTGACTGCTCTGTACTGTCCTCTGGTTGGTCCTTTGAGCGAGATAAAATCATAATGAAGTTTTGACAACCACTTGAACATCAAACAAACGTGAAGCTGACCCACAATTTGATCAGCAAGAGATATATCATACATGTTAACTAATCCGTCAGTTAAAAAAGGTATGACAGGCTGAGTGTGGTACCTGCTTGTTCCCTTCACAGAAAATGGGAGACCAAAAAATATAACAATAATCTAACAAAAATTGACAAGCTCGAGGCTGAATGGGATACCTGTGTATCCATGTGACTGCTAGTCTCCATTTCCTCCCCATCAGTGCCTTCTGGTTTTCCTGGAAAAAAATAACAATAAATTGCCATCATCAAAATAGGTCTGAGGTGCATACATGCAGAGTGCACAAACAACACTTCATACAGTAAGGTAACTTTGACTTAAAGAACGATTCCACATAACAGTATTACAGAGTTATCCAATCACAGCATCGCTAATTAGCTAAAAATTCAAAAGTCACATGTACATTGTATATTTACAGGCAGCTGAAATGAAAGTCTTATTGGCTAAATCCAGTATGCAGAATGCTGTTCTTAGAGCTAGAAATTATTTTTCTCAGTTTTTACACCATACATCAGCGTATTTGTAGCCACTATGTTGCTCTTTCCAACAGAAAGAATTACGGTAAATAAAGGGACATCTTTTTTAGGAACGCTGCTAAGGCTTGCTAACAAATAGCGATTGTGCAGTTTGTTTTACCTGAATCAGATATGTCTGTCAGTGAGGTCCCCTTCATTGGTTGCAAATCTTCCTTACCCTTTGCACCTGCATTAAATTTTGTAAACCAAAGATGCAACAAAGGTCATTTACTGCTGGACAATTTGTGATTCAACTCGTATGCTGTTTTTGCTGGAGCATCAAAAACATGCTTCTAGTTGAAACATCATTCAATTCTGGTGAATTTTTCAAGACATTGGGATTACTATGAAGTTTCCTTTCCTACTTTCAGGATTTTAATTTCCATGAATATCAAGTTACAGTCCACTGTAACCTCCAAACTTTTGATTCCATATACTGTACATGTAGTACTTGTAGTTACTTTAATTACCACACCCAAATCCACAGTCAGCCAATCAGAAGCCATGTCTACTGTCCTGATATCCTGCGATATCAAGTAACTGATCTGATATGGCTATGATATCAGGATCACTTGGCTCAATTTGGGTATGGTAAATACTTCATTGTACCTGTTTGGTACGCTTCGGCAGCATAGTGTATCAGGCTTGTTTGGTTTTGGCTAGACCATTTCTCACCAAAGCACGAACTATGGCTCGACCAAATCGCCTGATATGCCGCCAAAGCATACCAGAAAGGTACGATTAGGTGTAATAACTAATCTTAAATTGACCATGTTAATTTACAATGTTGAAGGTGACATATCACAAGAGCAGCATTCTGGCCTTGCATTAACAATTATAATTAAATTATGCCCTTAGCTTCTTTCCAAAGTGTGTCCCTTAACAGTAACGATCAAACTGTAACATCAAGCCAAAATCAAATGAATCAGCCATTAAGTTCTGTTTAGAGGTGTTATGAGTTATTGTCCTTTATGAAAGTCATGCAGCAAAACTGGATCTTCTGTTAATTACCTGAAGCAGTAGAAGCAGAGACTTCTTCAACCTATGGGGAAAAAATTAAATAAAATTATTTTTATTCAAACAAGATCAAGCCCCACTATCCTATATATGTGAGTTGTATTGAGCTCTTTGCTATATACCATTGTATGTGCAAAACGTGCCTCAAACTGGGCAAAACAATTATACTTCCAAAGGTTTTGATCCTTACATTAGGTATTGGCGATGGATCAGGTAGATCTTTGGTAGCATCGTCACTGAAAACAGAAAAGGAACTGTTTAATGCAAGTTAATTAAAAGTGAATTATGAGCTTATTACAACTACAACCACAAACCAAGTGAAATCATATTGAAAAGTTCTAATTGCACCTGTCATTATCCTCTTCTTTACCAGTTTTTTTCTTGGGATTTCCTGGTCCAGGCCTATTAGAAAAAATTCGTTGTTGTTTAAGAAATAGAACACAGTTTCTTTGTGTCTGTTGAACAATAGAAACATGAGTGGGTGCTTAGAATGAACACAAAATGTTGTGGAAGATGAGCCATAGCTGAATATTTTTTCATGAGGTTTTTCAGAGTTTAAAAAACTCTCACAAGTGTGTCTACATGTATTTAACGATTAGATTGTGAACTTGAGATTTCTATCGCATGACTATCATGCATAGAGATGGCCAATATCATGTAATCTAATTGTTTTAGTATAAATCTACCAGTAACTCAAAACTTTATCTCACTGCTCTTCAGACAAATGGAAAGGAGCTCCTGCCATTTTGTCAACAACTGCACACTGTGAGTACTCACTATCTATAACAGAATAGATAGAAAGCAGCGTAGCCATTTTTGAGAATGATAGTAAATTGGCCACTGTATTTTGTGGTGATGTTTTTCTATACAGTGTACAACAGTCAACTCACAGTTTCTTTTTCTTCTTCTGTTCAGGCGAGGGGGATCTCTTTCTTTTCTTTGATTTTCCTTTGTAGAAGAAAAACAAATGAGATTACAAGTACTTCACATGTAAAAGAACCAACTCGTAGATTTCCTTCACACTGATAAATGCAAACATCCAGAGAGTTCACAGACCAACATTCTTTCATGCTCCATAGGATTAAATGCTTTCAAACAATGGCATTAACTAAATCTAGTTAATAGTGGGGTAGTGACCACTACAATGAATAATGAATGAAATAAATCTACACGATGTTACCTCCATCAGGGCTGCTGGGTTGCTGTGGAATAACACATAAAGACAGTTACTACCATACATCATGAGTTGTACATTAACAATCTCAAAATGCACTCAAATTCTATATAATGTTATACTGCTGAACCCTGCTACTACAAACTCTCTTGGGGCATATGAAAAAATATTTTGAGATACAGAGCTGATGAGTAAATCACTGAAAAAATGCATCTACAGGAATTAACTATTTGCGTTTGAGGTTTCCAGATATCAAAGTTGAAGATAGTGGGCCTCGACTGTAGCTACATTATAACATACATGTATACCTAAAGAGACATCCAGCAAAGTTCTGGCCTAAAAAAAGGACTAATTATTTTGTAGCACTGTATGGAAGATTGAACATTACTTTAAAAAAGGAAGAAACAAAGTAAAACAAAATATGATTAAATAAAATAAAATTTGCTGGTATCATAAGCTACATTGTACATTCTGTTACAGATCACCATAAAGTACTTACTTCATCAGAACTTGCTCCTGTTCTCAGACTTTTCCTTCTGGTCTTTGCTGTTTAAATGAAATTGATGTCCAGCACTTAACAAAGAAACTAGAAATTTCATTATTACCTTAGGCTAGTAAAAAGAGTTTTCAAGTTTATATCTACATTTGAAGTATTCAAATTTCCTTTACTAACCTAAAGCTGGCGATGTTTCTCTTTTGTTGCCCTAGAATGAAGACAATATAAAGTGAAACATGTCAAGTGTACACTGTATATCTTCCCCAATGTACATGTGCACACATCAGGAGAATAACAGTGATGGTAATATCTGATGATCATTAGTGTCCTGTGGCTTTACTAGTGTTTCTGTAACTAATTAATATATGGCATAAAATAAAGTGCCTAGCATAATTTAACATATACCTTCAGTTGGCAGACACTTCCCATTGCATGGAAACCTCTGCTACAGCAGTTAGTGGGCACTTAATATTCATTTTTTTTTAGGTTCCAAGGGTATTTGTGTCAGTTCACATGAGATTACACCGTAGAAGAACCACACTGGGACACTGGCTGGACTAAAAGAATATTCTTGATGCACTGATATCATGTGAGAGAAAATATATGATGTGAAAGGAAGGCAAGATGCTCATTACTTACTGAGCCATCGGCATCTGTTAACTCATAATCTTCCTCATTCATCCACTCATTAAACACATCCAGATCTGTTAACCAGCGAGCATTCACCTAAAGATGGACCAGAAAAATACAACTGTTAAGTTACAACTGCTACTACCAAAGCAACAAAAACATTACCAACCACTTTGTGGAATGACACCAATGCATTCCAACTTCAACACTTTAAAGGTCTTTAATTTACAAGTTAGAGTGCTTTGACTTCATTTTATTTTTTTGGGAGGGATTAATTATAATATGTACAATGCAGCCATGGTTATCATGATAAAGCACAGTAGAACTGATCTATAACACAGTTATGTACAATTTTGCATTACCTGCCAGGGTCCCTGGTGTTGGGGCTCAGGTTGTGGCTCATCCTCAATGTCTGTAGATGGCACCCACGTGTCATAACTAAAATGCAATCAGCATAACATACAATCATTTACATGCATTTTGAACAATACACTGTAATAAACCAAGATGTTTAACTGTCAGAAAATATACAGTCATTAAGTTGACAAACCTGTCTGGGTAATACCACCAATGAACCAGAACCTGTTTATCCTGTCTCAAAAGTGGCCTTAACCACTCCTCTACAAGCAAGAAAAAAAAACATCAAAGTTATAAATACCAAATGAATGTCTCTTAGTTAAGTGCACAAGTGTACACACTATTGCTACATACAGCTACTGTACATGTACAAGCAAGTTCCATGCATTGCTTGTAAGTTGACTTGCACTGTGGGCTCATACAACGACACTCGTGAAAATATACACCCATACTACCCATTTCATATTGTTTATCTGAAAAATATGTACTGTACATATAGGTATCACACACACTTTAGAATGGAATTTGGACTGTATTGCTCTTTTTTAAAGCTCATTACATGTAAAACTAAAAATACATGTATAACTCAATATAAAAAAATAAATTATGCAACTAGAGTGGAAACAAACCACAACCTTCTGGAAAGGGTGGCGGAGGTCCATAAACAATATGAGTTGCTTCAGATTTCTCTTCTGTGATAGCACCCTGAAATATGGGAATTATCAGAAAGGCTCAAAATACATACCAGCAGACCTGTCCAGTATTAACTACTTATTACCCGAGAGTGAGGTCTTTACGAGAAAATCTCAAACGGAGACCTGGCCAAGGTTTGAGAATTTCCCATAAAGACTGAACATTTGAGGTTGATAAGTTGTTTGTTATATACCTTTTTGCTTTGTCTTTACAGGCCTGTAATTGGCCCATGGGCACTACGGGAGAATAATGTCCTACATGTGGGGTTAGCCATTTAATTTGGAGTGCACATTATATTGGCTACAACACAAGCCACATAAAACTTAGGTATTTTATAATTCACATATTGTACAAGCACATGCATGACATGATGTTGCGGTTTATGTAACTAGGTAATCTCTGTGTTTGGTACAAGTCATGTACAGTATACAGCATTTTCAAACCAGTTTGATTTTCCTTTGTTTCAGACTATGACTATCAAGAGATTATTTTATGATACAAAATATATTATTATTAGTATTATCAATTATAATTATAATTATTATTATTACTATTATTATCATGTTATTAATAACCCCCTTATTCACCAAACAAACTTGTTGAAGATAGCTGAAAATTGGTGTGCTGTTTCGTGTGATTATAGATCATGACTGCATCTTGATCTGTAACCACACAAAAAGGCCATTGGCCATCTTGACCTCATATTTGATCAATAAATTAAAATAACCCAATAAACAGTACTTGTACATGTAGATATGTATATATATATATATATATATATATATATATATATATATATATA